ATTCTCATTGGTCAGATGCTATAATTTATATGTTTCCGCTGAGCTCTATATATGTCAACTGCTGAAGCACCATGCATAAAAAACACATTAACTGATCAAATTGGTCTTGGCCATCTTATCTCAAAGCACGAAATGTTCGGTTTTGAAAAAACAGTATTTAAAACATTTGAACTTTTGATTGAATATCTTATATTTCGAAAAACAGTTTAAACTGTACGGTCTAAATTTAGTGCACGGTCTAAATTTAGTTTGCATGAAAGTTGTAAACAACACCATATAAGGATAGATATTCCATATTTGGAAAAACGAACGTTACGGGGCAGATATTCAAAATTGTATATCATCTGTGCAGGCTCTCAATTCAGCTTGAGAGCCTGTTCGCAGGCTAGTTATATTGTTATTCTAATGAGTTTCCGAACCATCTATTCTATTAACTATATGTGGAAACACAGTTACGAGAGAAAGTTAATTGTTCATTGTAGATCCTACTGACTTGCTCATAGCCATAGGCTGCAAAAGAGTTTTTTATACAAAGAATCTTCAAAACAATTCAGTACAATTCAGTTACTCGAAAATTCCTTAGATTTCCTTGATTCCTTTTTTCGTCCTTTTCCTTACTTAAAACTCCTTTTTTCTGTCAAAAATCCTTAAAAAGGAAATTTCCTTGAATGTGGAAAGACAATAATATGATCAAATTTTGTGCGGCTAGCAAGGCGCAGAAGTTTCTTACATTCTTTCAAACAGTTAAGATCAGAGTCTGGTGGCCTATAGAAAGCGACTGCTAAAATATTTCGTCTAGAATTTTGGCAATATTCATACGCCATTAGTTTCTAAACATTTCTGCGTATCATGCAATATGCTAGTGTTTCTTAAAGCCTGATTCTCATATGTCGCCGACGTCAGCGATGCCATTGTTTGAGATCAGTGAAGAAGAACATAGACAAAAGATTTTACTCATCAATGATCAACGACAATGGGCATCGCCGACGTCGGCGACATATGAGAATCAGGCTTAAAGTGCATATGACATGAAATTTCTTATTTTCTTAAACGAAAGAACTCTTTAAGCTGTAGTCGGTAACTTATTTTTCAGTTTCTTGTTTTTATGGTTTGTTCCCGAGATATTTCAATTTGTTTAATATGTAAATGAGTGTGAATATGTCCGCTAATTTATGACGTCATGTTGGTTGCAAGCTCAACTTACACTGGTTATACATCTATTAACTCTAAAAACTGTAGATATCTGCTCACGTTTTTCTACAGTGTTTCATTACATTTACCAGTGAGTGAAGTTTAAAATTATCGTCTTGGATGATAGCAGTGGTATTCAACATTTCGAAGAGCTTGCAACCAACATGACGTCATAAATTAGCGGAAATATTCACACTCATTTACATATCAAACAAATTGAAATATCTCGGGAACAAACCATAAAAACAAGAAGCTGAGAAATAAGTTACACTACAGCTTAATCATATGCACTTTAAGCCTGTTCTAAACGTCGCATTTTACATGCGCTGAATGCATTCAAAACAATGGATAACGAGGCATTTCAGCTGCATGATTATCTATTGTTTTGAATGCATTCCGGCACATGTAAAATGCGACGTTTAGAACAGACCTAATAGAAAAACACCACCGCCGACCTTGTCAAGTCGATCGCGTCTGTGAATAGTATATTCAGCACTCGGGAGAAGTTCGCCGCAATTCATTTACATCAGGTTTTAGCATGATTCAACACAAAATATCAAGATTTTGCCCAACTGATCGATAATGCCTAATGCCTGAACTCATATATATATATATATATATATATATATATATATATATATATATATATATATATATATATATATATATATATATATATATATATATATATAGTACAATCTGCAGACATGCATGTTTCGGCGTTTATATATATATATATAAATTAATAAATTTTCATAGCAATTCCCAGCAGCCTTTCGCGCTCGTATTCGACTTTTCCGCTTTGCTCGTGGACAACCTTAATTGAAATAGCTGTATACGCTTGTTGACCACACTTCAATAATCTCACACTTTATTCTTAGCATTTTCCAAAAAGTAGCCATCTACACGATTTGTTGTGCAATTTTAATTAAAGACAAATAAGAATCTTACGTATAAAATTTATAGGCCGGCTACGTAAGATTCTTATTTGTCTTTAGTTCTTATTTAAAATTTTGCCATAGACGAATGAATGCATGAATGGGTCGATCAGCATGTGGTTTCGGTTGCTACTGGTTCACATGCATGCCAGAACTTAATTGACCCCATAGATTTTTGTTTCGAATGCAAATTTTCTAGCTTGTATATACTCCCCATTGCGCTATGAACTGCAGCTTAATTAAACTAATGCAAATTTACTAGATTTATTTCCGAGCACCTTAGACATGGTCCTATCGTCTCTGGCAAATGTCAGTGAGTCATAAAAGTTTGATGTACGTTGGCTAACTGTTAAAAGAACAGCTTATTACTTGAAAGGTAAATCTAAAATTCATATATCTCGATTTTACAGATAGCAAAAGGGTACCGTAAAGTGCATAAAAACAAACACACACACATGCAAGCGCTGTATATTAAATCGGAGGTTTGAAACATTTCGCCATTACTGCAATGAATTGCTACTGATCATTTGATTAGCTGTAATTTTACATTATCATGAACCCACTCAAAAAATAAATAAACTATATAGAGTTAAGAATGACTTACAGAGTTTCACAATCAATATGAGCAAAACCCATGTAGGCTATATATAGCCTAATACAACGTGGATCGAGCGAATACATGTAGTATCCAAGTTTTATACTTATAATTAAAATCTTATATTAGCCTATATATAGTATAGTATAACCTAACTTGCCTTTCATTAACTTTGCTTTCATGTTCTACTTATTTGTTGGTAATGAAAATTAGTTTGAAAATTGAAAATTTTTGTTGAAATTTGAAACATTTCGCTATTATTGGCAACAACGTTGGTTCTTTAAAAACCAAGTTTATCCTTATCGGTCCAAAAACATTTCTACCGATCGCGATGTCATTATTATGGGCTATATATAGCTAGTTATAAACTTATAATACATAAATCGTGGCGTCGATGGAAAATGTACATGTGTTGTTTAATTGCCACGTCGATCATTGCACCACGCATTCAGTATAATCTATAATCTATAAGTCCTGACTGATATATATTAAAATAACAAATTGACAATTGCTAAAGAGTAATATAAGATATAATTTTAAATGACAAGCAAAGTCAGAGTTTTGGGGAATATATATTTGTTAAAGAAATGTATAGGTCTAAGTGAATTATGGCATAATTATAGCATATGTCGATAAATTGGAGGGATAACTTAATTTCATTATGTTTCGTTATCAAGTTATATACATGCATGCACCGAAATACATGGCCACCTATATCATTGCTGCCGTAGCGAGCGAGCGTGAAGCGAGCGAGGCAGCAGTCCTAATCTTTATGTATATGTATATATATATATATATATATAAGGCAGATGAAATCTCGATGGTTTAATTTCGGCGTATTTTGGCCTACCACAATGCACTGCTTCCGGGCCGGCAGGCTATTCTTGCCTAATAAACAGGCATAAGGCAAACAAGCAATGTAATCATCTTTCATCATTGGTTTTCTTTTATGACCTTTTATGGAAAGCCATGCATAGCTGGCGTAAGTGATCAAACGGCATTTTGTCGATACGCAGCAGTGATACGCAGTGGTTCGAGCGTTATACGCGGTGCTTTCGTATATTATACGCAGTGGTTCGAGCATTATACGTGGTGCTTTCGCCATTATACACGCGGTGCGCTCGCCATTACGGCGGGCCTATACGGGGTGCTTTTAACAAAATTTCCTATATCCTTTCCATGTATATAATCTCACGATTGCTTAAATTTGGTATGTGGCTGTGCTTTTTTGCCTCTGGTGTGCAATGACAATGGCATGCTTTTAAAAAGGTTTATTTATAAAAAGGTGACTGCACTTTGTGAGTTCTATATTATCATGTAGTGTTGATTTATTAGTAATAAATCTGTGTATATAACATAGCTATACAAATTAATATAACGCAGCGAATGCGCGCCAAGCAGTATAAACGCGGTTGAAATACGATATTAAAATCTTGAATGTGCTGTATGATTTAATTATGTTTTAGGATTTAAAGCAGCGAATGCGGGCTAAGCAGTATAAACGCGGCTGAAATACGATATTAAAATCTTGAATGTGCCGTATGATTTAATTATGTTTTAGGATTTAAAGCCTTTAAAAATGCTTTGTCATTTGTATTTGTACTTGTACTGCATCACAAGGCAGTGAACAGATTCCACAAGTAAGTGAACAGATTCCACATGTGAGGTTGTCTTGTATATATTTTTGCCTTCTTTGATAAACATTATTAAACACGTAAATTTAGTGAGACGCACATTCGCACATGTTAAATGTCACCTGCATGTCATTGCCCTTTAACCCCTGGTCTAAATCATAGTTATTGAAGCGGGGCCGTTTTGACCTACAGTAGCACCGTATTTGTACGCAAATTGTCTATACAATTTTATATACTAGATATCACAGCCATACCTGCCATTTTGATCTTTTCCTCGCGTTAGATAAGTTGATAAGGGGCAAGTCATCATTAATGTCGGGTAGGGGGCCGGAGGAAATTTTTATGAGTAGCAAACATTTTTCATGACCCCTTATTTTTCTAACAAAATCATTTTATCCCCTCCCCTTATAGAGGCAACATACTTCATAGCCCCCCCCCCCGCTTCCCACCAATTCTGAATTCAATGACTCTAAGTCAGTTTCGTAACCATTTTTCCTGCCTTCATACTCAGTTTACTTGCAGCTGTAAAGAATATTGTAAATATTGAAAATGATAGCCAAGGTGGACAGGAGTGACTTTAGTTTCACAATAGACACAATAGATAATTCAGACTTTATACCTAAAAAGTTGTTGGCCCTTAAACAAAAACCCCACTGATCAGGCCTACTTTTACTAATTGAAAAAATACATTTGTGTCTGGTGGAAGCATTATATTGAAGAAATTGCAGAAGAGACTGTCAACAACATACAGAAAGAGAACATGCCAAAGAGGTCCTCTGTGTTAAAAAGCGTAAAACAGGACAACAACTCTCAATTGGATCTTGCATTTGCAAATGCAGCCAAATTCTATGGTGATGATGAGGATGACAATTTCCATATACAGTAGCTAGAACACAACTTTTAGGTCCAATATATTGGGCATTACTGTCTAATGTATGTATGTGTACTGTATATATCCATTACTCTTGCTATTACATGTTACAAACTATTCCATAGATTTTATTTTTTGTTCCCCCCCTTTATGTCCAAATTATTTGTCTGCCCCCCCCCCGATTCACTAGTCAAAAATTTTTTGTGGCCCCTCTAAATTTCCTCCGGTCCCCTACCCGGCATTAATAATGACTGGTCCCTAAGTACACTCATTCTTGTTAACCATCGTATCTGTTCGGCTGTTCCTTAATTTTTCGATACGAAACTTCGAGCGCCGAGTTATCGTACGGCACATTCAAGTGTATAAATTATGGATGATTCCAATTAATTACAAATATTTCTTACTCTTATTCTTGCACTGATATTAAAGATTTGGGAACAATGCTATACCAAGGCAGCATTCACTACCCTGTGGGTAAACTAGTAGTAAATTATACACGAACACGAACAGTATTTGACAGATTGGTATTTACAAGTAGTTCTTGTTGCCTTTAGGCAATTTAGTATATCTGTATGACCTCGTATAAAGTATATAGGTAATTAACAGAGCGTATAATGTAAACATTTTTCAAATATCGTGCACGAACAGATATTGTCAGGGGACCTCGTCTCGAGGTAATAAAATAGAACTGAATTAGGACCTCGTCTCGAGGTATAATAGAATAGAAAATGAATTAGGACCTCGTCGAGGTAATATAGAATATAGAAAATGAAAGTTAGGATCTGAGCACCAATTGCAAGCAAATTAACACGAGATTAAATCGAATAGCCTGCAAACCCCAAGATTATTATAGATAATGAAGATAAGATATATATACTATATGTATATATATATATATATATATATATATATATATATATATATATATATATATATATATATATATATATATATATATACATACATGCACACAAGTTGACTTTTCAACTTAAACTTACACGCAAAACGGTTGGACTATGGTAAATAATGCATCACTCTTTCAGCATCTTCTGCACAATTGTCAACCGGCCACCCCCGACAGTGTCTCGAACTTTTTTCTTTCCTTGCATTCCTGTTCGAGTAGCGGGTTTCAACTATACTTACCTCTTATACAATTAAGGCATGCCCAAAGCTTGGAACTTAATTTAAAAATAAATGTCTGATAGCATAATCGAGTAAAGCATGCATGCGGTATAAAATATTTTCTTTCAAATTTTATTTTACAGTAAGATGTCAAAAAAACCAGCTTTTCTCATCATTTTCGCAGCCTTGGTTATCGCATACTTCCTGTTATGTCGATCAGTTAAAGATGAAGGTAATTTTCCGTTTAAATGTATACTATAAACGTTTTTAATTTAACTTGCATGCTCCTATGAATTAAAATCATGTTTTAGACGTTCCAATTTTAAACGTGCACAGCATGGCCAGAAATGAGGGACAGTCAGCGAAATATACTGCGGGCGCAGAAATTCGCTAAATTCTGCATCGTCAGCATAATACAGCCAGACATTAAAGGCATCTCAAGCGACTTCGGAGCTAATTTTATATCAGTTAAAGACTGTGGCAACTATTTCCTTATTTACAATCTTTTAATTGATTGAACACGATAGTTTCTAAGTCCAAAACTACAAAAGTACATCAAAATATATTGAAATTCACTGGATTTAAATTTGATTTTTGCGCGATTTTTCCCCTCTTTTGGAGCCCCCTGTCCTTTATAAACAACAATCAGCGGTTGTACGTACAAATGTTTTCAAAATGGTTGACAAGAACCCACGACGACGCTTTTAAAACGTTCATAGTTTTGGGATTTCGCAGTGCTTTGTCCAAAACACTTGGTATTAACTTACGGATCTCATGAAATACACGCTATTTTAAATGCGTTTGGCGGAGCGCGTACAAGCTAAGATGCATGGGCGTACCGGAAGGAAAAAATTAGGGGGGCGGAAAGAAAATTGCCCGACTTTTCGTAAAATTGCCCGACTTTTCGTGATTTTGCCCGACTAGTACCAAAAAATTTTTCCCGGAAAAATTTTTTTGGCGACCTCCCCCCCCCAGTCGCCAAAAAAATTTCGGTCAGTGTACCATTTTAGGGGTCAAAAAAATTTTCCGGACGTACCAAATTTTTCGCAGAATCACATTAATTTTCCCAAAAAATACATTTGCCCCAAAATTGACTAAATTTTTGAAAAAATTACATAATTTGTCCGATTTTTTTTTTTTACAACCCAAAATTGCCCGACTGTTAATCGAATATTGCCCGACTGCCCAAAAAACTGGGGGGGCGGCCGCCCCCCCCGCCCCCCCGCCCGGTACGCCTATGCTAAGATGAATCTAAATCAATACAAAAGGAGGGATCAGCTGTCGTACAAGAAATGTAGACGTAAACAACTCGTCTTCGAATTCTTGGGGCAACACTACACTGGCCTCAACTTGGTAAACAATGGGGATTTTACTGTACTTAATAGGAGTTTACATTGCGAGATTATACTGTAAAATTGAGTTACTCGGGCGGAATAATGGCAAATCGTGACACGTCAAGAGTTTCGGGGAATACTCGTCGAGGTATTTTGTACATTTCTAGACGTAAACACTTTGAAAATTATATTTTGTTTCGGCATGCGCATCGCATTTGTATGATTATAGTATTAATTCTTAGCATTTCCGCCATCTTGAATTAGCAAAATTGGTTGGTTGTGCGCATAGTTAGCGGCCATACTGTCCCAAATTTCTGGCCATGGCACGTAAATTTGCAATTGCATGCATGGTTGGCAAAATAAGTCCTTTTACACTCAGAAGTCTGATTTTAAGGAAAGTTTTATTTTGTATTCAAGAAATAAGAAGACAATATTCTAATAATAATAGTGTAGATGACGCCCGGTCAAGGATAATACAATTTGTGTATAAAATGTATGATTTTGTACATGATTACGTGAATAGCCTAATCCCTCTCTTCGTGTACTGTGCGGTGAACTTAGAACCAGTGTATCTTTCTTTAATTTTCAGTAAGCTAATTAATTTTATGTGGATCGTCCAAAACGGCTTGTAATAACCATGCAACAGTGTTTGTAAATGTTAATTACATGCAACTCTTGACCTAAAGAGTATTGGTGCTTACACGGTGACCCATTCATACTAATCCTGCATTCACAAAACACGCCCACTGTTCATTATTTCAACCGGATAAGTTTAGTCTTCTTTGCTGATGCTTGGAACACGATACATGTTGTCTCCAACTTTAGAGATCTTTGCCATTGCACTCTGTTGTTCCTCAGCAGTTGGTTTCTGGAATCCCATACCATCATTTCTTCTTGCCTTGCCGCTTAAAACGTCTACTGTAAATTCCATCGAATTTGCCCGATGCAACTGCCAAGAGGTTATTTCGGTAGTGCTGTTTCAAACTCTGACGTGAATTTGTCCAGTAAAGCTACAATATTCACTTCACTTTCTGACGGTTGAGAATCTCGTCCTTAATAACCAAGAATTGCGCTTCACAGTAATTGTTCATTTTATATTCCCTCAAGGGTACTAGGTCGACTCTGTAACAGAGTGCTCATGATGTGCGGTCTTGATGTTACAACCATAACAAATTAATTCCCAACCACCAAACTAACGTGACGTCATTTTCTTGATGTTTTTCAACCAAACAATTATAATTACACTTGGTGGTTCAATTTGGTTAGAGAACGGGTCAAGTTTTACGTCAGTTTCAAAGCTATTTTGTATCAACTGCACGTGTGCTGGTGGATATTATACATTAAACGCACTATAACTCTTGTGCGGGTGATTAGGATGCATTACTGTGCATGACAAATTAATTTCAAGAAATCAAAGGTCTTTCACAAGCATTGAAGCACTTCACCGTTCGTCAGCGGTACTTTGCATTAATTCAATATAGTCAGGATCACCACAAAGATTAGCAGGTTGAAGTATGCAAAGTACGGTATATTATATAATAACTACAGTGAAACACGCAATTTGATTGGTCAACAGCCGTGCAGGATCAGACAATCCTGCACGGGAAATTCTGAACAGAAATTCTTGCACAAAATTTTACAAATATACTCGCATTGTAAAGTTTCATTGTACGATACCTTTCGACTTTGAAGTAAGTTTGCAATTATTGAGACGTCGGTTTAGTTGTATGAATAAATTTCTGATCGATACATCGCTATTCAGCAAGTAGCAACGCGTAGCGTTGAAAATCATCAGACCATGGCATGCAAGTACAACATCTCTCCCTTCAAAGTTGATCAAACGCTTCGCAATCTTCGCATATCCAGGTCGAGAATCTTCAAAACTACTTTGGGTCTCTGTTTAGCGGGTTTTCCATTTCAAATTTCGTATATTTTATCGAAAAAGTCCCTGTATTTTCGCTGTATATTTTTGCGAATTTGCGATCAAATTCTGTTCACATATGTTATTGTTTCCAATAGCGTGGAGTAGCGATTCTCCGATTGGTTAATTCACGATTGTTGTGAGAACTGCACATTTCATCAGTAATTCTAATCAAGTTAACCGTCGTTTCACTGTAGTAATTTTATAAAACAATTACCAAATGGTTTTCCCGTGCAGGATAGCATGATCCATGCACTTGGGATGTTGCTCGACTTTGGGAAAGCGTAAGAATACACTCGCCTACGGCTCGTGTATTTTTACGCTTTCGAAAGTCTCCCAACATCCCGCGTGCATGGATCACGCAATCCTGCACGGAAAACCGTTCGGTATTCCTTTAATAAAAGACCACCGCTCGCCAACAATTACCTCCTTCCCCAGCTCGCCAACAATTTTGGGAAAAGAAATATTAATTAG